CGTGGAAACTATTGAGTGAACTGAATACGAAGATACCTTTGGTTTATAAATTGAACAATTATTGGAGAATATATGACGAAATGATCTAATCTACTAAAATACGTGTGTTTAAATGGGAAATGCCGCCAGATGACGTCACAAGGCAGAAGCATTGCATTTTCTCACTTTTAAATCTACTTTTCTATTTCTCATATCAGAAAAAAATTATAAAAAATACTGTGAAATCAGCTCCTAAAACACTTTCAGATGAAGCAATAAAAAATTTGCATGCAAATTCTCCATGTAACCTAAGTTTTCTGACAATATAAAAAAAATATTCATAACTTTTTTCAAAAATAAACCATATATCGAAAGAAATTTGGCAACTCTCGGATGTTCTTCCTTAGCACGGCAGTGTGTGCGACACTGAAATTAAGTTAAGGTATAAGCAAAACAAGCGAAGCATCCTCATTTCGTATCTTATACAACAAACACTGAGCGAATTTTATTACAACGCCTGGATGCAACTATTCGAACTCTACGGATGTCCGTGTTGCATGCGCACGAAATTGAAGGCGTTTTGACTCTCCAGGAACTCACCACTACACCCGCGGCATGGGAGCGGGTTGTACAGCATACAGGATCCAAAATCCTACCATGTTATAGGCATGATGCCTTGTCGTAGGGTTCACGCCAAGTAAGTTTACGTGCTGTTAGACTGCATCAGATGATCCGCCATCTTGCTTCTTGCATTTACTTCACATGTAAAAGTGACGTACGGCGATCTTCTGTCGCAATCTAGAAATGCGTAAACTTATTTGGCGAGGACTCTTATGTGCACGCATGGAGCAAATGTATGGTCGGTCCTTAAAATGACTTCAAAACTTTGCTACTACAAAACCAGTCAAATTGCCACCACATTCTTCGCTGGGCTGATGATAAATAATCTTAGGTCTTAAAAGCTAAAAGTCAAATTGTTTCTCCTCTTCAAAATCTGTATATTTTTTTGTCTTCATGTTTTGGAAGCGTGGGTGCTGCCGGATGATTGATGGGAGAAAAACTGTAGAAACGCAAGGATATAATTAAATATTCAGAGGTGGAAGTTTTCCTTATTGATTTTGATAATGAGAATTGTTTGAGACAGAAGTAAAAAGATAGAAGCAAGATGAAAAATAACCTTTTAGGCCTCATGTGGGCTTTTTTCATTGGAACACGTATGCATGTAATTTTTTTTGGCCCAATCGCGAGTTTTCCTCGATGAATATTTTTTGTATCGTTTCAGCGAACCGCCGCTTGACGCATGAAGGTATAGAAAATCGAGGTAAATTGCACTGTACGACATTCAAGGACATTGAAATTTAGCAGAGAACCTTTAACTGTTGGCGTGGAAAATTCCGTGCATCTAGCGTACATACTTCTCCTCGGAGTTCTAAACTCACTTAGCACATGTCAGCATTGTGAATGACACACCTCCCATTTTAAGCGTATAAAACATTTGCATCTATGGGGTCATCCACCCATCCGGGGTAACTGTAAAATACGCAGCACTCTAGTCCTAGATTGCATTGCGATTTGTTACGATTGAGTAAGGGGGAATCATGCACACCTACGAAACCATTTACGTCAATAATGTGGGGGCCGTCAGTTTTTGAAAGCTAACGCTCCATCCACTGGGACTATCTAGCATTTGCATCAAAACAATAAATGAATCATTAAATACAAAAAGGGCACATGTCCAGAAAACCAAATTGTTCAGGAGACACAAAAAACTGTTTATTTCGTGGTGGATATTTTTTGGAAAGTCGTTATGTTTAAAACAATATCTACCACGAAATAAATGGTTTTTTGTGTCTCCTGAACAATTTGGTTTTCTGGACATGTGCCCTTTTTGTATTTAGTGATTCAAATAGGTCCAATAAATTTTTTTCCTACCACAACTACTTTTATGTTTTTTTCGCGTGTTTCAAACCCGAGGAAACATCAGCTATTACTTTGAAGATGTGCGATTTTTTACATGAAACTCTTCATAATAAAAATGTCTTTATGTACAATCCATGAATCTCACAAAAGATTGACCCGCCTTTGACTATGGAAAAAAACCAAATCAGGATTTTAATGATGGGAAATTTTTTATTTGAAGTATAAACTGGAAAATTATAGATTTTGTGGCAACACATTTAGTTTTGCAATTTTATTTTTTTAAAACAAAAGTACATCTTATAGAAAATGTACCACACATAAATACAATCCAGAGAGTACAATGTACAATTGTACATTTACTAAAAAAAGTGGTCCAGATTATCACAAAGAAAACCACGATTCTTCAACGCGCCGCGCCGTCGCATCGTCGCGTCGTGGTTAATCAAGCCGGCAAACATTTGAAAATTGCTTGAGCACTCTACACTTGACTGCAAAATTACTCTATCCCTAAAAAAAGCTTTCTAAGCCAGGCAAGCAATTCACTTATCCATAAATTATCAGCACTTGAAATTTCCGATATCGGGGACCGATCCGCGTATCGTTCGACAGTGAATTTTATAAACCACTTCTACTCAGATTCTCCCGCTACCTTTAATCCAAAGTTAAGCACTTGATTTAACTCATGCAAAATTCTGTTTTTGAGAGACATTTGGATTACATTGTTCAGTGAGGAACCACTATTTCTGGCTCACTTTAGAAACAACATGTATGCCATTAATTTCTCCATGATACTTACTTATGTGGAAGAGCCAGAGATGGTGGTTCCTTATTGCAAAATGTAATCCGTTTAGGTACATGTACGCAAATGATTTTACGGCATTAAGTGAGCACGGAAAGACCTCAAAATTTATGGAAAAGTCCAAAAACCTAGCGCAAGGTTAACTTATGAGCTAGGTTTTGAAACAAAGGCAAAGGTACCCTATGCGTTCACGCGCCAACATCTAACCAGAATAATAGTAGTTTTTTCTTCCATAAAAAGCTAGATTAACTACCTACCTAGCTGAAGCGACAGCTTTTTCCGCATTTACTCTATACAGGACTTCCCTCTACAAAACACCTGGAGTGAATCATTTTTATCATTGTTACCACAGGATTTAAAAATTGGAAATAGAATAACGAGAAAAACAAAGAAATTACCATATATTATTTATTTATCACCGATCTTAGCAGAGTAGACAATGAGCCTTGTTAAATTTCGCAGTATATTGATAGGCGACAAGATTCGTGAACAACGGAATACAAATCATCAAACAAGTTGGTTTTTGCAATCGCTAGCGATAGCAATATTCGTCATGGGAACTTTTGCTTCTGGGATATGAAAATTTTAAGGTACAGTTCGTTTGTAGTATCTTCAGAATTGAAGGGGCTATGTAATTTTGTGTCGACATCTCTTTTTTAACATTTTTAATTTTTTT